GCGGGCTCTCGGGGCTCGGACGGGCCGCGGTGCCCCCGCGGTACCCGCTTTGCCTCGCCGCGAGGCGGTGGGCGCGTGGGTTTTGTTCAGCGCTCCGAACTTGGCAGTGAGAGTCATGGCGGAAAACAGGGCCCTGTGGATGGGGCCGAATTGCATAACCAGTCTTCTGTGTAAGTTTTTAAACACTGACGCAAAACGCCTGGAGTAGTCGCAGCAGATTGGAGTTAACTCGGCTCCTGCGTAGCTCCAGACATCCTTCCCGCAGGCACTGGGGAGGACTGAGAGTGAACATGGGTTTTCTCCAGGGCCTCCAGCTCAGTCCTGCCCCTCTGAACCACCAGATAACAGCTCTGGCCTGTTGCAGCCTCCCTCTTGGCTCTTCCATCTGCTCTGCTCCTCTGACATTCCCCACCACCGTCCTACCTGAGAAAATACCTTCCTTTCAGTGAATGCTGTCAGTTCATTTCATTGAGAACCTTGACTTCCTGACTCTGGAAAAGGGAACAAGCGAAGTTTATTGTGTAACTGCTCTCATCTTCAAATGTATCTGATAACGAGATGGTTGGGGAGAGCATAAAAGGAAACAGGAACCAGAAAACAAGTGACAAAGTAGAAGGAAAGTCTAGCCGAGCATTGGTCTGGAAAGAATGAGGCTAAAAAAGTAGCTTCGCTTTCCTTAACCTGTTTTGCAATAAATGTGTATGATTTTGATAGACTTATCTGCATGAGTAAAAAAATTCTACTATTTAATAAGTGATCATCTCCCACTAGGAAGAGCTCTCAAGGTGTGTGCCCCCAAGCTGGATGCAGGTTAAAATCAGGCTGCCTCGCTGGAGCTGTTGGAACTGCGTGGAGCATGTACCACAGCGCTGTGGATCACGCAGCGAGGATGCTGGCAGTATGACCCTGCCCAGATGCCACAGCAGCACCTCCAGCACAAGCAGTTACCTGCTCTCATAGCAGGTCTCTAGTGCCCTGCAGCACTGTACTGAGTGCCAGGGAGGCACCTGAAGTTCCTCAAAGCGCTGATTTAAGGTCACGGTGAGGCCTGCTGGGGAGGTGATAGCTAGTCCTCTGCCTGTCTCAGCACTGAGTCAAACTCTAAGCTGCAGTCCCACCATATCAAACTCTGGGAATGAGGCCCATTAGGCCTTATCTTGGGACTTTGAAAAGATAAGGATGATCAGTTTTTTCCCTGTTTGTAGGTTTTGGGGATAAGATCTTTTTGACTGGGGGTGTGGTCACTCCCTGCTTTTACCCCTGGGACCTCTGTCTGCCAAGCGTGGTACAAAGACAGGGGCAGATCTGTTCTGTCCTTTGGGTTTTTGCACACTCATTAGTGATGCTGGGGCCTCTGTTATGAACCATGCTACTGTGGTCACCTGTTTTATTACCGGCAATTAGGGTAATAGCAAATGATTAACAAATAATCACAGAAACCGTCTCATACTGCAAGTTGTTCCTCACTTTTCTCCCCATTATAGACAGCTGAGAGGATTTTTAAACCTTTTTGTGTACATTTTGGTGGTTGGTTTGGTGGTTGGTTGGTTTTTTTTTAGCATGAGAAAGCAAACCGGCTGCTGAAAGCTAAAACTAGACGCACACAGGAACTCAGCCCAGCGATTTGCTTTCATTTCCTGCAGCTGAGCTCTCTCCTTATTAGACCAGCTGATGAGGGAGCTAATGATGGCTGAGGACTGGGAATCATCTCTGTTTGTTTGACCTGGGCTCTAGAAGTGATCAGAACTCCTTACAGCTCCTTATCACCTGCTCACTTGCTGCCCTTTTAGGAAGCTACCTGTCCTCAGGATTTGGAGGTAGAGGGTTTAGGGACGTGAGGTAGAGAAGAAAGTAAATCCTTTCTTTTCAAGGGCCAGGTTGTTGAAGCAACATGGGAAGTAAACTTGGCAGGTGCTGTGGTCTGGTTCATACATGAGTTTCATCTCTCTGTGGGTTGGGTCACTCTAAATTCGATTGAGACTGAACACAGTAGGTTTAATTCTCGCTTATCGTATGTCCTTCAGCTGTATCTATCTTCAGAGCTTTAGCAGAGCTAGGCCATAGCTGGGTGCTCTTTGCCTGAGTGTAGGAATCCGTGTTGATGTGGGTGTTTGCACGATAAACGCAGGATAGGCTTTTGATCAGTTCGCATTTCATTCAGATCATGACTCCCCTTTGATAGCAATAGCTTCAGCGTGAGATCTAGGACAGGGTGTAGTTAATTTGCTTACTGCTCTCTGCACGTCTTGAGTTTGTGCAGTAATGCTCTGATCGCTATCACCTTTCAATTACTCCTTATTGCCATTTGCTACACTGCATGTCAGCAAAACAAGGGATCAGAGAGCAGTGGTGATTGCCCCATTTCTGTCTGGAAAAGTGGCTGGACAAGCTGCTGTAATTCGTATGTAATTAGTATAAAATATGAATGTTCATATTCCAGCTGTTGTTAATACAGTAACAGAGAATGAGTTGCAGATATCTCCACAGCGATGGAAGTGATCTCACTTCCTTATTGCCTTCTCTAGAACTTACTGCATTATGTTATCTCCTTGTGGACATGGTTTCCGTCTGGAGCAGCGTGCAGCACTGCAGCCGGGTGCCCGCAAGTTGGGCGAAGTGGTGTGGGTTGCTTGTTTCACAGCTGTGGTCAGGGGAGTAGGGAGGAGCTGGCTTTCAAGCAAAGAAAGAGGGTGAGGGTGCAGTGTTTCGGTACAGGCTTCACTTTGGGATTTGGGATTCTGTTTTCAGACTGATCGCAAGCCTGTTTTGTCATACCAGATGGAGTATCAAGTCTCTCTCAATTTATCTGTCATTCAAAAGATAATAATAATGTAAGAGAGAACTGTAGGATTTGATAAGTTGTTCCTGTTAAGACTGCCGTGTTTCAGAAGGAAACCCTAACCTGTAGTCACATTCCTGCATACTAAAATACAGCGTGGAAAGTACCGCATAGAGTGGGAGTAGGTAGGGAACAGACAGTACAGTCACTCTGCAGTTAAAAGAGCTGCTGTACAGTTCAAGCAGGTGACGTACCTGGGGATTTTTTCAGATTGGGATGTTTTCTGTGTTGCTCTTTCTTATAATGCCTGTGAGCTGGTAGATCACGAACTTTTGAAATGTTTCTGGTCTGCTTTGGCCACTGATACGTGAAAGAAAGAGCTGCTGTTGTAGCTTGGGTATCAAGGCAACACAACTTGCTACAGCCCAGCAATGGAATAAATTTAGGGTTTCGCAGTACTTGGGGGCTGGTTGTGTTTCTACACAGGAATCTCTTCACCTCATCTAAGCTGGCTGACCCAGCAGAAACTCCACTGAAATCACTGGGTTTATACTGTGGTTAGGTTAGTGTGCAGACAGGTACATGCCTTCTGTGGCTTGCCACTGGAATTGTACTTCCTAAGCTCTGGCTGGCCCGGGCTGCAGGCTGCTCCTGTGTGACGGCGCTGGGTGCTGGTGGTGCTCACAGCATTGCAACACCTGATGGTACCGTTTTACTCTCTTTCCCCACACAGGCTGAAGGGAAGGCAGTGCTGATAACAGGCTGTGACAAAGGTTTTGGACATGCCTTGGCGAAACAGCTTCACACAAAGGGATTCACTGTTTTTGCTGGATGTTTGCTGGCGGTGAGTAGTAATATTAATCAAAATTCTTCTGTGAATGGAGAAAAATGCTTCTGAAGTGACAGCCTCTTCATCTGCAGCTTCTATTTACCCTAGCTGAAGGCTTGTGGGAAGTGCAGTGGGCAGGGATTGACATCTTCTATTGCTTCATCTGCCTGTTGCATCTTGTCGTTCCTGTAATTCTGAACTCTTTAGGGCAGGGACTGTCAGCCGCCTGTGTGTACAGCGGTGTGCACAGCAGGGCAGTGTTCACTGCTGGAAGCCTCTCAGCAATACTGCAACACACTCAATAAATCTGATAGTCCAGGATTGCTGTGGCACTGTGACTTTCTGTAAGACTGGCATTTCTGCTGCTGTCTTTCATTCTGTCACTTTCCTTTGGGGACACTCTCCTGAAACTCATCTCCAAGCCACCTCTCCTGCCGTGGTCAGGTTCTGTTTCCAAAGTGCCTTCTCCAGCTTCTGTAGAAGCTGATCAGTTTCTGGACAGCTGAATAAAAAAATTTACTGTATGTTTCTGATATCTCAGGCCGTCACCTGTGTTTGGCAGATGGCATCACTTGTTATAAGAGATCAGTTTAGGGACACTGAATCAGAAGGGGTTGCAGACCCATCATCCCAGTCTGCTCCTGCAGGTAACCATGTTGTGTAATCCTCTTTACAAACTGGGCCAGACCCACTGCCATCTCAGCTGGGGCTTTACCTTTACTGTGCTTTTTTGCTGTTTTGGTAGTCTAAACTCATGAATTTCCAACCTGAATTGTTTAAAATGAGTTCATACTCACTTGTTTCTCTGAAGGTGGCCATCTCAGCACAGGTGCTCAGGGAGTGATGACCACAGATTCTTGAGCAGTATGGAGGGCAAGAACAAACAAAAAAGGTGGCCTGTGTGATCTCAGCGGAGGTTACGTTCTTCCACCACACCAGAAGGGAAAGATATTATCAGCTGACATATTGTGTAACTTGAGAGCAAGAGAGTCCCGTTGGAAAATTGCCAGTCTTTGGAAATTTCCATGTGGAGGCTCTGTAAATCCTTCAGTAATCATGTCATGCACTGCTTTGGGATGCCTGTGTCTGTTGATAGCAAGGCAGGCACTCACTTTGCAGAGCAGCAGATGTGAGGAACAGAAAGGAGAGAGGAGGTAGTGTGGTCCAAACGGGCAGTTGAGAAAGCATCATGCTAGTGCAGAGCAGGGAGGACCAGGCTCCATTTGAAGCCACGTAAAGTTAAGAAATATTCCCAAAACAAGCCCTGCTTGCTTATTTATTGATGGAAAAAAAAACCCCATAGTACTTCTTGATCACAGAATATTACCTGTCCCAGAATGCCTGGACAGCATGCCCTCTGATGTGGCCTGGCAAGTTCTTACTCGGAGCCAAAACTTTTGTTGTTCAGTACTTAGATTAGGTGTGAAAGTGGAAAATACATCAGCAGTCATAGTTGAGTGACTTTAGGAAGATTGACTGAGCACTTGACCCTGAAGGCATAGAGTGGGAGAATGTGATTTTTCTAGTTCTCTGTGTTAATAAATTTCCAGGAGACCTGGACTTGGTGCCCTAGGAATTCACTTGTGGGTGTTGGTTTGGTTTGGTTTGTTTTTTTCCCCTGGATTGTCAGCGTTGTTTTATCTGCTATTAGGTGAATCTGAAGGTCAGGGTCTGGTGACACAGTTATCTGGGTAGCTGTTGCAAAAGTAATACAGCCAAATGTTTTCTGTGGTTCTTGGGCCAGGCAGCATCCTCATGAAACAGCCTTGTGTTGGTTGAGGGAGGTAATAGCCTAAAAATTTAAAGTTTGATGGGCAGGAGCTTACTGAAAAGCTAACGGTAGAATGCACGTGGAATGAAAATGGTTATAAATGTAAAACTGACTGCTCTGAGAAAAGGAAGTATACAGTGACTGCAGAAGAGGATGATGGATCTGCAAGAAGCAGTGAGCATCAGTGGAGGCAGGGAGCTGTTAGGTCGGATCGCTTGTGAAGAACAAGGTATGAGCGTACGAGTGATGACTGCGGGTAGGTGAAGGAGTGCCTGTGTGTTGTGGCTAAGGATGCAGCTACCTGCTGGTCACTGGCAGTGTGCATGTAACGGCTCCTGACACATGCAGGAAAACCTACCCTGTCATGAGAGAAGTGTGAGCTGCTGTAGGGTCAGAGCAGGTACGGGGGCAGTTGTCATCGAGCAGATGCCAGGCTATTAGTTCACACATAGTTACCCCATCATCACTTCCTTGCATGCTTTTATTCAGAGAATTAAAGGCTCCCGGAGGCACTAACCACCACGGAAGGCTCTTGCATTAAATACAAGCTGGTACGCTGTCAGATGCATCAGGAGCTTTTTAGTGATCAGATAGTCAAAAACACAGAGGAGTAACAAGAATACTGCAGGCAGGCTGGGATAGAACTGGAGAGGATCAAGTGCAAAAGGGATTTCATTAGCAAGGTCAGGAAAGTTCACAGAGAAAGTTTCTGTTTAATATATTAGGATTAAAATGAAAAACCACACAGAAACCAATTACAAAATAACCAGAAAAGTAGAAAGCAGAGAAAAAGTTGAACTAATGATTGTTTTATTTTCTTTGATCCTACTGAAAAAGATGAATTGTTTTCAGATGCCTACTGCCAGCAGTTTTGATGATGACTGCCAGCAAGAAAAGGGAAAGAACAGGGAATGTTTACATAAATGGATGTCTTCAACTTCACCAGGCCTTACAAACTGTACTGAAGACCATTTAAAGGATGAGCCATTGTGATTTCTGCCCCATGGGTGCTCTTTTCAGGAGCACCTGGAGGCCAGGGGTTTTTGAGAAGGCTGGAAGAGGACAGATATGGTACTTCCCTTCACAAGAAGGCAGGCCTCAGGAAGTGCCAACCAGGCAGCCAGATGACGTTGCAACACACTGACCCATCAGTTTTACAGATGTCTAGATCACGGTGTGACACGCTGTCGGTGTAAGCGTTTCGGGAACACACAGTTCCCTGGCAGTCTCGTCTCATTCTGGCTAAGCAGCGGCATGGTTAAAGGGGAAGGAGTAAATGTATCCTGAATAGGGGTTTTGACGCAGTCCCTCATGATAGTCTTACGTGCACACTTGCTCTAAGCATGAGACTGCTGTTCAGTCCCAGGGAGATATTCTTGGAAGTATGCCCTGAAATGGCGAGTTCACTTGGAAGGAAAATGTCATGGTGCCAGGCAGGGAGGATTGCAGGCCTTCTGGGGAATAGGGTTCAAAATGATCCTGATAGAGCGGGTGGAGTCTGAAATCAGTTAGGTGGAATTCAATAATGACAACTATGAGGTGTTTCTGCTCAGGAAACGCAGGAAGGGAGCACGTGGATAGGCAGCCGGGGAGGGGAGGGAACTGGCGCAGCTGGAGCAAGCCGGCCAGACCCACGAGTGCTCAGCATTGTGTTTGCGGCTTCCTGATTGCCTCTGACATCTCCCTGTGGGTTCCCAAGTGCTTGCCAGGACCTGATCCTGAATCCCTTGAACTCCCTGGGAAAAAGCCACGGCGCGGTCCGTTACAGGAGGGCTCTCTGCTGACAAGCCCCTCTGACCTGCCTGTCCCTCAGCGCCAGCTGCATTGGGATCCTCCGAACCGGGGCAGGGGCGAGGAGCAAGCGGGAAGGGGAGGCAGCCAAAGGCTGGAGCAAGGTTTGGTTGCTGAGTGGAGGTTTGTGTGGCTGCTGGGCTCCCTGCCCAGGAGCAGCCCCTGCTAGGCCAAGGGGGTGGGCAGCCAGAGCCGGGCAGGGCTGCGAGGGCAGGATAACCCAGGAAACGAGATAGCTGGGGGGAAACTGAAGGCCTCCCTGGAAAGTACTTGGGCAGCAGGCTGGGCTGGAGCAGGGCAGCTTTCAGCTCTCGTAGAACTGGAAAGGGGAAGCTGGGAGATTCTCTAAGAGAACCAAAATCAGACAAAAGGACAGCAAAGTGGGAAGAAGGCTTTGCTGGAGCTGTTGGGCCATTGCTGCCAGGACCATGCTTGACTCGTGCTGCTTCATGTGACTCCTGCTGGAGAGTTCCAAGGCCACGAAGGCTATCTCAGGGACGACAGCCTGGCTGCTCCCACAGGAGCTGCTCCAGATATTTTTCCAGGCAGCAAATCTACCATCTGAAAAACAAGGAGGAAATACGATGTAGGTATCTGATGAGGGAATGTGCTTACAGCCTCTGAAGACCACAGAATGTAATATGACGTTCACTTCTTCCCGTGGAAGTACATGGCTGTTTCGTTTGTGAAGATGTTTTCTGGACATAAGGACTAAGCAAATTGTTTTACAGTTCAATCGTGGCTGAGATGGTGTCTGCAACTATGAAAAGTGGTTCCAATTGATAGCGTGTGTTGAAGTCAGTCTTCCAAAATCAATAGGTTTTGTCAACAATGAATAAATTGTAGCTGGGAAGGTAACTTGGCAGATTCAGTGGCATTGGTGAGAGAGGAAAAATCACTTCCATGTGTATAATACAAACCATTCACACTGGATTTTTCAGTTGTGGGCCTGTGACTTTGTTTCTCAAGAAACAGTGGAGATATTCCTTGTTTAGCTTTTAAGGATTATGGAAGATTAGAAAGCAAGTAGGGAAGGGTGTTTCCAGTGCTCTGAAATGACAACTGGTCCTTGAATATAGATGTAGTTAAGTTTTTGTTTCTATATAGATGCAGTAAATCTCTCTCTTTACAAGCTGAATTAGCTCCATTTTATTCACTGTTAAGTAGCTGAAAGTTGCTTTGTATAACTTGGTGAGATGCAAGAGTATTCCAGAAATACAGTGAGACATCACACAACCCTCACCCATTTCAAAGGGAATAGGATATTTTGCTATGTTGTTAACTACTTGTATGCCACTAGTAGAGATTCTTTTCATGGCTAGACACAGCACTTCATGGTGCTCGGTGTACATCAGAAAAGCTTCAAGTCTTTGCTGGTTTGTGTGATACCTGGAAATAATTCAGTGTGAAATGACAGGCAGCCATGGGGCCAGCAACCCACTGCCAATATATAATTACAATGCCACTGTAATTATGTATTGATTTTTGGGAGCTACCCTGTTTTGCTCAAGCCTGTATGGGTGTTTCAGCTCTTGTCCTTCATTACAGGTCGTTGTTCACTGGGCTGAAGGTGGAGGTGAGATGTTGTACACTGTAGTCGTTAAATAGCCTGAGATACGTGTAGAAAACCTAAGCAGTTACGTGTTTTTTCCATCAGCCTGGCTGCAGAGGCAGCTGAGCAGGTGACTGTGGGAGGGCTGCTCGCCTGGTTTGCCCTCGTGCTGTGGGAGTTGGTATCAAGTGCTAAAGGAAGAGTGGCAGCCAGGCATGGTGACTCACCAATTCATAACTTCTTCCTCCCTAACGAGGCTGAGCCTGTGATTCAGGGAGTAGTTTGTTGAATTACACCTCGAGCCTTCTGTGGAGGAGCGTGGCTGATCTGTGCTTGTTACACTTGTTTTATACTACCTGAGCAAGGCTGTAAGGCTCAGCAATCCTGCCTGGAAGTGACCAGGTGAAACTTGGAATTTAAATTGTGTTTAGGTTTGACTAAACAGAAAACCCCAACACAATAGTAACAGAATCTCTAATGATCGCAGCAGGGAGCAGGGCAGGGGACGAAAGGAAAAGGATAGAAAGGAAAGCAGATCCGTCATGTTCTTATTACCTATAGTGTGAAGAAGTAGTCTTGTTCTTGCTTCCTCAGCTAGAATCTCCTCCTGTCACGGCTCGTGTCTGTAATCTGGTCATTGTGTGGCAGGTCCCCACCGTGCATGTGTTCCTGTGCATCCTCTTCTGCTGTGTAGTCGGAACAAAGTATTTTTATATAGGTTCAGCTGTAAATGTTTCCTGTGGTATCCTCTAGCATCGGACTATTTGCTGTTAGGTGTGCCAAAGGTGTCCCTGCTGTCTTGTTTCCAAAGGGTCTGACAGTACGGTTTCGTTACAAGCCAGGCAGTATTTTGGAATGAGGTGAGTACAGTGCGTAATTAGTCTTTTCAGCCTGGCAGATCTGACCCTGATTTATGCCCCAATGTGTGCTGTGTTACCTGCAGAGCGTGGCGACTGAGGCAGCAGGGAGTCACTCACCGTTATCCCAGGCTGGCACATATTTAACACGTTACAGATGTGAAACCCTTCTTGTGAGGAGCAAACAGCAGAGGCTTTGCAGCTCTCCAGAGCAGTGGGTCACTGAGGCAGACGTGGGGGCTGTGCTGGAGGGAGTAGGAAGATGTCCATGGGTTGCATCCTGGCTCCTTTGGCTCACATGCCTATTTGTGCACCAGGTTTATACCTCTGTCTGCAATTTCAATAGCTTATATTTCCTGTCCATGCGAAGGTGCCTAGCCCCAAGATGCATTATTGCTCCTTGACTTTCTTAGCAGGACCTCTTTCTTTTCTGCTGAGCAGGATGAGAACGGAGATGGAGCCAGGGAGCTGAGGAACATGAAGTCAGATCGCATGCACGTGCTACAGATGGACGTGTGCAGTGATCAGGAGGTGTCTCAGGCTGTGGATTTTGTGAAGAGGACCCTGAAGGAGCCAGGGAAGGGTATGTGGGGATCTTTTTATTTCCAGCACAGCTGGCTCTTTCTGTGCTGCCAGAATCCTTCCTACTGGGCAAGTAGGAACAACAAAAGAGGGTTAACAAGCATGGAGGCCTGTGACTGTGTGGCTGGCAGTCAGGCAGTGCTGTACGCAGGTCAGTGAGGAGAATCGTCTTGCTGTTGATGTGCCAGCCGCATGGAAAGAGCCTGAGACTGGCTGAAGGGTTAGGCTCTTACTCTATATCCAGTAAAAAGCGATGAGTGGCAGCAAGCCCACAAGAGGCTGTGTCTTTCTCCTTGAGTGTCTGTGAAGGGTATGGGATCAGGCTCTGGCCATCCCCTCCTGGTGCTCCTGCTGCAGCCTGGCTCACACGGACTTTTTTGCAGTGACCCTGCTAGCAAAGAGGTGACAGGCTCTGGCTGTTTACTGCTGTTCCCTCTGCTGTGTAACTGAATGCTGAGCTGGAGCACAAAACTCACCAGCCCCCAAACCTGGATTATTCTTCATCCAGGTCAATCCATGCTTTTCGTTTGCCATGCAACCTCCCAGAGGTGATGTGAGGCAGGATCCACGATGGGCTTGGCATAGACCACCTTAATCCACATGCAGCCTTAAGTGCAAATCCAACTCAGGGGCCCTAAGGGCATGTAGAAGAAAATAGGAGTCCCTTCTGCAAGCTTCTTTCCTTCTGGAAAGGTTTGCCATCCAGGCAAACGAAAAAATCCAACTCAGGGGCCCTAAGGGCATGTAGAAGAAAATAGGAGTCCCTTCTGCAAGCTTCTTTCCTTCTGGAAAGTGGTTTGGCAGTGGGATGTGCGCTTACAGTCAGAGCCTGGTGTGACACCACCTAGCCTCCTGCCATGTGGTGAGGTTGTGAGGCTTCTTGCCCTGCCTAGGTTTTCCTGCAGCCTCTGTGCAAGTAGCAAGCTGGACGGCAGCTGTAGACCCGGGCTGAGAGTGCGCTGAAGCTTCATATCTGTGGCTCCAGGACTCAAGGGCCGTGTGGCTGGAGGGTGGTTGCTCCTCTTGAAGCTTAGGTGAGACTGCCATGGGCCTGTCTTTGTTCACTGCAAGTATAAGGCTGGTAAATAACAATAGCTCTAATTTCCATGCAAATTATGTGAGCACACTCTTCCTTCTGAAACAAGTATATGAAATGTAACTGAATTATGTACAAGCTCTGATCCCACACATGTTCTCTCTGCATGACTTTTCTTCCTACGCAATTACCCAACCCTCGTCACACATTTTGCAGCTTCTCAAGCTTTTTCTGAAGAGCCCAGCAACAGCAGTGGTGGCACAGAGCCCTTCCCCACTGAGTGCAGGCTTGTAAGGGAGCAGCTCTGTTGCTTCTGTAAATGCAGCAGTGTTTGCAAAACCGTGTGTGTAGCAGGGACAGAGAAGTCTTGCATCCTTGATCAGCAAGTTGGACTGGTTCCTCCTGCTCTTGAAAGCCTTATCCTGTAGTTTCTTCCTCCAGCACAGTGTGCAAAGCAGCAAAGGCTTCTTTTGAGGCCCGTCAGTGTGACTGAGGTTTGAGGCTTGCCAATAAATAAGCGCTGGAATGTAGAGACTGTGGAGACTGAGGTGCCTTGCACAGAGGTGCTTGTTGCACTCTGAGTGTGGCTGCAGAGGAGCTGGTGCAGAACAGTTCTTGGGCTGTACGTTTATACCCCTTCTCCCTGTGCTGTGTACCTAAGGCTAAACTCGTTTGATAGGAGTGCCCGTGTTTGTTTTCAATCTTATGCAGTTCCCACTGTATTGTTGACACTAAAGAAATAATAGTGATAAGGCTCTGCTCAGTAAACACACCACTGTCCAGCAAACATCCCCGTGACCGGGTGCCCATAGGCACTTTGTTCTGTACGTAACGCGGCCTGATGACTGAAATTCCAAGAATGAACTATTGTAAATAATGCTTTCATGAACGTCCCTGAATCTAACCTCGTAACCCAAGAGATGGGAAATCATTGTAGGGATAATAGTGATAAGGCTCTGCTCAGTAAACACACCACTGTCCAGCAAACATCCCCGTGACCGGGTGCCCATAGGCACTTTGTTCTGTACGTAACGCGGCCTGATGACTGAAATTCCAAGAATGAACTATTGTAAATAATGCTTTCATGAACGTCCCTGAATCTAACCTCGTAACCCAAGAGATGGGAAATCATTGTAGGGAAACTGCAGAGGTCAGTTTGGGACTGACAGTGAAGTCTCGTGTTCTTTGGTAAATCACTGCCAGATCTGCTCTGCACAGCTCCTTGTTACCGGAGAAATGACACCATCATGTCTCCATGATCCTCCTGCTAGCACTTAGACCCCGCTTTGCAGTAGCACAGGGGACCCTGTTTGGGCTGAGGTGCTGTGCTGGCTGCCAGGTGAGTGTGCATGTCAGTTCTCCTGACCCACTGAAGCCGGCAGCTTTAGTAAGTGCAGCAGCAGCAGGCAGGGGATCTTGGGCAGAACGGGAGTAGAACTACCTGACTGCAGTATTTAGAAGATTGAATTAATAAGACCAGAAGTAAGGATAGTGAGGAAAATGTTGCCTTGGCTTTTGTTGCAGGCCATGACTTAGCTGTTATCCCAAACAGCCCCTGGGGCTGTTGTGGCCTGGTGGGGATTGGGAAAGGGTTGTTCTGGAGGAGGATGGAGCTGCAGGCCAGTGAACTAGAGCGATATTCACCACTGTCAGAGGCAGCTGTGCAGGGCAGAAGGGGTGCTGGGATCACCACGTGAGAGCTGGGAGATGCAGGAGTGGTGGCAGCTATAATAGGCAAATCCATCCTGGGACAGACCACGAGGGAATGGGTAATGCACAGTTACCACTGGGTAGGACGTGACCTTCTCTGGTCTGCTACACACAGTGGGCCGGCAGCCTTCAGGGAAAGTGAACTTTGGGAGCAAGGCAGGGTTACTAGGGCCAGTGTGAGCGGAGAGCCAGTCTAGCAAGGCCATGCTGGGGTTTCTGAATACACCAGAAGGATAAATTCCACTGGTGTCTACTGAGCAACGGTAGAATATTGCACTTTGCTTAGAGGGCTGTGTTTGGTACAATGCGTGGTTACTATCTGACCGTGAATAAATATAGGTGGGAAGTTATCCAGAGACTTTCATGTATCAGGGCAGGGAAGCTATGGAGTAGAGGCAGGGCAAACAGCCAAAAAAATTTTGAGGGAGAGATTGAGAAGTTTTATCAACAGTGTGGCATGACATAGATGCTTTTGATAGCAATGTCAGAGCTCCCTGGACCTGGAGACTCCTTCATAGCTCTGTGTGTGTTCTTGGTGGTATGAGGAAGGTCAGGAAATAGGAAGGGACACCTACTCCAGCTGGGTACAATCACAGTGAAAAATAACTGTGGCATATGGTAGGACACGTAATGAGGAGCAACTCTGTTATCTTGTTCCACCTCATTGTTCCTCCTGCAGTTCAGGCTGCATAGTTCTGTGCTTCAGCAAATTCACAAATTTGCATGGGCTCAGTCCTACAAATGTTTGCCACTGGGACTCCTACAGTAATCGCCTCGAAGGGTCAAGTCCTCAGTGATCTGCTGAGTCCTGGACATAGAAGGCTCAGTGCAGAAGGTCTTGGTAAGTGCAGTCACTAATTTTGACAGCACTGCATGCAGAGAATATATTTGGTTTTAAATTCTAGTAGTTTTAAGGGTTGGTTGTAAGTTTGCCATCTTCTGCTGTAGTAACGGGTGAGGGAAACCAAATACCTGGACTAAAATACAGCAGGTGTTAACTGGGCCATGAACTTTCAGGTCAGCACCATGCATTCTTCAAAACGACGGGTCAGAGTTGTGAAGGGGATTTAGAAATCCAAGATACTTGTTTTCCTTCCTTTTTTTTTTTTTTTTATTGTGGGGAAATCCAACCCCCTCCAAATTGCAAAAGCCATGGTAGTCACTGAGTGACGACAAACCTGGGACCAACGGGAGTCATAAGAGAGCATCAGCCAGATCCAGCTGTACAAAGCCTTAAAACAGCACTTGACCTTAGAGGAGATGTTCAGGGAGGCAATGCTTGTTGTGACCCCATCGCTCCCCCGATGTTCCAAATCGGCACCACTACCCGCACTTCTAGTATACAAAGAGTGTGTTTCATCTCCTTGCTGGGTTTCACTCGACAGCTTTCTTCTACAAAAGTGCCCAGTTCTTTGCCAAGGGTTTGGATTACTTTGAACAACAAGGGAAGCTTCTTTTCTGCGACGCTTTTCCTCGTTCTGCTCCTTAACCACGTGTTTGTTGGCAGGTCTGTGGGGCCTGGTGAACAATGCTGGCGTCTCGACCTTCGGAGAGGTGGAATTTGCAAGTTTAGACAACTACAAGAAGGTGGCCGAGATCAACCTGTGGGGCACCGTGAGGGTGACAAAGGCATTCCTGCCCCTCATTCAAAACATGCTGGACAGTGTGGCAAAACTCAAGAGAGAGCTCTTGCAGCACAGCAGAGAGATGTAGCTAAAGACTGTGATGCAGGCTGTGCTTCAAGGAATGCCTGTGCTGTCCGAGGAGGGTGTCTAAGGCATGTGGGCAAACCAGACAGCAGGATTCGACATGCTGCATAAGCATTTGGGAGTACGGGCTGCTCTTGGGGCAGTCCTGGTGCCTACACAGCAAGTGCTATCTTAAACATCCCAGGATACCAGAGGCGTTTGTGCAGTGCTGGCAGACGTGCCACAGCACTCCAGGCCGCCTGTAGAAAAAGTGACTGGACACCAGGCAAGATGCTCCTGGCCTCCAGAGTCAACCGAGGGCTGATGTTTGGGTAACTGAGTGTTCTTCCTTCGTGTTGCTCAATTCACAGATGATTGCAGAGTCGTAGTGGTAGAATAAATGAGAGTCAATAACTGCCGTTTTAGATATGTTACAAGACAGCAGTATTATCAAAAGACTTCTGTTTTATGGTACAAAAAAAAAAGTGTACTTGAGCAGAACTCTGAAGAGCTGCTTTCTTTAGCATATGTGGGAGAGTGCTGGCACAGCTGTGTGTTCTATGAGGACAGAAGGGATTATATTGAGAAGATTGCTCAGATTCCATTTCCAGAAAGCAAGTACCCACTAAACAAGCCCCATGTCACTACAAAAGGTAGTGTACCCATCAGGTCAGCCGGTGGTTCTCGCAGTCCCTCCAAGCTGTGCTTAGGTCTGGAATGAGAGCGCAGAGCCGCCCACTTGTTTCTCAGCTAAAATTTCAAGCTGTGGAAGGGTATCGTGCTCCACACTGTGAAAATCCTCTCTGTAAAAATAGCTGGTGAGATTTCAGGGGCCTGTTTGTAAGTGCATCTGAAACCATAATTGCACATGTCCTGTCTTGGGGAAGGGCAGGGTCACCCGCAGAAGAGTGACTGCTGCTGTCGCTGTCCTTAGGCAGCGTGTGATCTGACACAAGCTGCCAGCGCTCCGCAGTCGGGCTGGCGAGGGCTGCTGGGGGGAGTTAGGACAATTGCTCTTCTCTGCCCCATAGGCAGCAGCACATCAAGTCTCTGCTCCGCTCGTGCCAGGCATGTGGCGCTCCTGGTTGACCAGCTGGGAGAACAGGCTGTGCTGCTCATGCTGCAGGTCCAGGGAAACATCTCCTGGTTCTCTGCCATCCAGCTCGGGTCTAGAGGCGTGTAGCTGTGTTAGGCAGAGTGGCTGCAGGTGAGCTGTTGTGCATCCAGAAAGAACCAGAATGCTGTGCTGTCTGCTTTCTGGCTCATAACACTGCTAGCTGTGAGTGGGGCACACGGATGTGAGCACACAGCTGGTAACCTCAGATGTGTGTACTTCCCTACTTGGAAATCAGGAGCCAAATGTCTTGTATGCTTTGTAAATCCTTTTTAATACAGGGGCAGGCCTGTTCACCATCCATGGGGGAGGTCAGAGCAGGGGCTGGCCTTGCTTGAGTTGGGAGAGAAAGGCTCCTTGGCAGGGGATTTGAATGACTTTTCAAAATGGAGGTTTTACAAGTCATCATCATCCAACAAAGCCCCTTTTTACTGGGATGTTCTGGCTGCTGCTTCTGCAGCCCATCATCTCTCCTTGCTCTTCTCTCTCTAGGCCGTGTGGTGAATATCACAAGCATGTTGGGACGCATGGCGAGTCCATCTCGCTCCTGCTATTGCATTTCCAAGTTTGGGGTGGCAGCCTTCTCTGACTGCCTCCGGCAGGAGATGTACCGATGGGGCGTCCGCATCATCCTTGTTGAGCCCAGTAACTTCGTGGCAGCGACGGGCATCCTGACGGCAGACGGTATTGACAAACAGGCCGAGGCGCTGTGGGGCGGAGCCAGCGACACCGTGCGGGAGGACTACGGGAGGGAGTACTTCACTCGCCACGTGGCCTTGATGAAGTCCTTCGTCAACAGTGGCCTGAAGGACATGTCTCTGGTCTTGAATGACATCACTGATGCCCTCACTTCCACGTGCCCGAACAACCGTTACAGTCCCATGGAGACCTACTGGTGGGTGAGGCTGCAAGTCATGACTCACCTGCCCACGGCCGTTGCCGACTGGCTGTACATCCCCGGAGCCACCGTGTAGATATCCGTCCTTCTGGCATCCTTCCGGCGCTCCTACGTGCGTGCAGGTTAGAGCTGACGGAGGGCTGTTCCGTGCCCGTTGCCGAATGCGTCTCCCCTGTAGATGTGTGTGCTCGCACGTTGGGTTATGGCTTCAAGTCTTTTGTTGTAGGCTGCTAAGAACAGCATGGCTTTTCTGGTTTTGTCCTAGTTCTTGCCCTTTGTAATCTGTGCTGTCCTGACTAAAGTCAGAAGGTGTTTTCCTTCTAACTGTGTAGCAGGCAGAGGAAGGTTAACATGATGGGTCAAATACGTGGCTAGTGTAACTAGGCCAGCAGAGTTCCCCCAGTGATAAATTTGGCTCGTTAATGGGCTCTTGCTTTTCCGTACAAGGACAGGCTGCTAATAGCAGAGTAACGCTGTTGCTAGGAGATGTCTTAAAGGGAGAAACTGAAATGGGAAACAAAAGCAACGTTTTCCATTTGCTTGAAAATGGGTCGGTCGCAGCCTTCCGTTGTTTTCATGGTACTGCTAGGAAGCTGTGCTGTGACTGCCTGCTCTTTCCAGGAAAACAGCAACACTGCCTCTCAATAGCCTCATTATCTAGCCTGGGGGGGTCAGAGCCCCTCAGAGAAGGGTTCTTCCCTCCCAGCTCTGTGGCCAGGAGGTGCTGGAGCCAGTGACTGCAGACCGGCTAGGCAGGGAAAAGCCTTTCTATTAAGGAGTGAGGTCTGAGCCATCCCTCAGTCAGTCCCTGTGGCTGCTGGGACTTGCGGCCTCTCTCCACCTCCTGCTGATGAGCTCTGTGGGACAGGGTTGACTCTGCTGCAGCAAACAAATTTGGCTCCTCTGACTGCTACCTTAGGTACCGGTGCCTGAACTACTCCGCTGTGGTACAGGCACTGTCCAGCTGTTCCCGTGCTTCGGCACTGCTCCATGTGAAGCTCCTCGCTGCCGAGGGAGCTGCTCTTGCTTTCCGAAATCTGTGGTTTTGTTTCATCCTCTCTGCACTGTGCAGACTGTGTGGCCTGACTGCGAGCTCTGGAAGGGTGCTTTAAGTGACGCTATTTGTTTTAATATTGCACAACGAGGTTTCCATGTAGCACATGCTTGTCTCCTCAGAAAACCTCCTGATCACTGGTACAAGCTACTTTTACACAGCATCCCCAAGGGTTTCTGCTGTTGGTCACACACAGGCATTTCAGTCATTTTTCCGAGTGCAGGGGCTGCCTGGCTTCATGCCCCATTCCCTCTGTCCCAGTGGTGACCACCCGTGGAGCAGCCAGCAGGCTGTGGGTGCTGCTGGCCAGGCTGGGACCCTACCCCCTCGCTCTAGGGACCAGCATTCCCTTCCATGGCAAAACTTTGTTCTGTTTTCTCCTACTTGAGATTAAGTGGCTATGAAAAGAGCTTACCATTTGCTCTTTCCTCATCTGTCTCTGCTAGCTCTGACTTGGAAACTGTGCCATAAACTTTTTAGATGCCGCTGGCTGTAAATACTTGGAGTCTGTGTGCAGCCATGAAAGCTGTGATGCCTGAGGAGCAAGGCAGGCTTCCCTTGGAGATGCTGCAGAGGTAGCTTGTATTACACGTAACTACTGGAAATGCTGGCCATGCAGTTCTTTTCTGTTCCAGATGATCATCACATGGAGATTGCCGGCAACCCAGGACCGAGAATGATCTCACTGAACTGCAGCTTAAGCAGTGTTGTAATCACTTCTGCCCCCTGCACTGTGAAATGTGAGTAATGTTAAGTAGAACTGATTGCACAGAGAGAAAAATAAACGGTGAGATTTGTAAAGCACATGTCTTTGTCTCCAGTGCTCACTTCTACATCGGTTTTCCCACCCCCTTTGAGGTTGGGATTTAATTGGGCTCGGTAATTAAGGAGGTGGCGGTGGTTCGGCAGGTAGTGTCACTGCCAAGGCTCAGTGAGAACTGCCCGGGGCAGAACGGGCAGCGTGACCCATTTCGTCAGCAGAAGGCAGCTAGAGAGGCCCCTTCGCAAACACACACCCCATCAGTGTTTGTATTTTACGTAGTTTCCCTCAAACGACAGCGTTGAGAGTGGTGCTGCGCGTTACTCATTGCCTCAGCGCTCTGCGTGTAACTAATCCAAGTGCTGCAGCTGCCTGATAATGAGATTAGCTCGTCTCACAGACCCAGCCGGGACTTGCAAGCCAAGAGGTGTCCAAGGCCGTGCAAGGACTGAGGCTGAGCCAGGGTTAGGATTTCCCAGCGTGTAAGCCCCAGTGCCTTCCCCTGCCCCCTGAGCAGTGCCCCGCTGAGCTGTCAGAGCCCAGTCTGGTTCCTGCCCGGGCCGGGAGCGTTGGGATGTCTGGAGCCAGAGGAGCGAATGCTGGCGCACAAAGAGCAAGCATCGAGCGTTGCTGTACAGCGCAGATGATCATGTGAACTCTGAGCTGGCGGAGCAAAGCCGCAATGACCGAGCAGGTCCCTTCCTGTCTTGAGCTGCCAGCAGCCGTTCGGTGTCCAGTGAAAACCTGGCTCTGAAATCTGTTCCCCAAGGCAGACAGACCCTTGTTTCGCACCGTAGTGTTGCGTTAGTGCAGGCACTCAGGGAGGATCACTGGTGATCCTGGTGCGTAGCAAATGGAGGCAATCTCAGTTCCACATGACAGTGGCCTTCACCGCCAGAGGGTGGGGGAGACAGAAGGAAGTTCAGTGAAACCTCCTGGAAGTCCCTGCCCGCAGCTGCTCTCGTGTCTTACCAGGAATTACACTGCCGAAGGTGCCTGTGGCTTTTTTTCACGGGCCAGCTGCTGAGGCTGTGGCAGTGTGTTTCCCACGATGGAAGACAGCGACGGTGCAGCTCCCTGGCACACCCTTTAGCCCTTGTGAAGTGTGTCTGTTTTCCCTTTCAGATGAGCATGGTTCTCCATGATGATGCTGGGCACCAAGAGACAGTCCTCTGCGTGTCATGTTTTCTCTGCTTCAGCCTAACGCAGTGAGGGGCCTCCTGGGGTCTCCCAGGCAAGCACTGCGAGTCTGGATACTCCAGAGAGCTTCAGGTTCTTTCTCTATTGACCAAAACCCAAGTCCCAAACCTGTGTCAAGTCCCAGACCTCATGGCATCTGTGGTTCCTGGTTTAGCCCCAACATAAAACCTCCACTAGTGGCAAAATGAGAGTTTAGAAGACAAGAAGTTTATTGTGGGTGAAGTGAACAAGCAATCTCTAAAAGGCAAGAGGAACCAGAATTCTCTTCTGAGTGTCAAGAGCTGCAGAGGAAGTGGTTCATTTCAGACAGGCAAGAAGCAGCAAGTTGCTATGGAGATGCCTCACTGATAGTCCTCTGTGTGTGTATCTCTACGAGCTACACGGAGGATGGAATGTATGCTGCTTCCGCTGGGCTTCCAAAGTCTTTCCCATTGTCATGAGTGGCTGACAGCCTAGGTTTGTTGTTCTGATGTGGCTGAAGGTTGGAGAGTTGCCGAGCTGGCCAGGAGGCAAGCGGGCTGTACCGGAGGCAAGCTGCGAGTGTTACTGGGAACCACAATGAACACCAGCTGATGGACGTGTTTATAGGCAGTGGGATGTGATTCTTCTCGCATAGTGTTGACCATCCGTGGAAGTCTTCAAGGCCAGGCTAGACGAGGCTTTGAGCAACCTGGTCTAGTGGAAGGTGTCCCTGCCCATGGCAGGGGGGTTGGAACTAGATGATCTTTAAGGTCCCTTCCAACCCAAACCATTCTGTGATTCTATGACTGGGATATTTCCTCTGAAGAGGTGGTCCTGTAGGTGCTGTCTGGTTCCTGAGCACGGGCAAAAGAAGTGTGAGGGGATGCCAGAGGGTTAGCAAAGCGGCTGCTCTCCTCTGCTGGGTGGGCCCAAGCTGCTGGCCAGATGATGCACACGACTGACTCGTAGCACTGTCTGCTACGTAAGCTGTTGTTTGACACCTGGGATGGAGTCGATGGGCGTGAGGGGAGAGTTTAGGACTTTAGAAGCATTTCTTACACTTTTGGCTTTGATCCTGCAGCCGAGGGTCTGCCTGCTGTCAGCATGTTACTGGGAAAAGGAGGCTGGTGATGGCAGTGCTTTCACACACAGCAATGGGCCTGAAGGCAGGACAGGAGATTACCCAGGGCAGGTCTCCTCTGCCCCAGGTCAGGGCCTCACTTCTGCTTCCCTGGGGTGCTTTCCTTGCTCCCAGAGGTCTCTGTGTGGGGACATGGTGCCTCTCAGGTGGGCTGCTTCCTCAGGGTCCTTGTCTTCCTTGAGGAAAGAAAAAATCAAAGAAAATTATCAGCACTACTAGTTGGAAAAGAGTAAGTATTAGACATGTCAAATGAAGATTAGGAAGCTGTGCTAAAGGTCTCTACGACAGCCACAGCAGGTCAGAAAGGCCGCTGAGGTCCCGCCTTGCTCAGGGAGGTGCAGCCAGAGCAGTGCCAGGGAGCAGGATGCTTTCCCAGGCTTGCTGCTCCTGCAGGGAGCTCTGCCCATTGGCACCCAGCTCTGCAACACTGCCACCCAGTGCACCCTGAAATAAGTGTCTCCCTTAGCGTTTTAGAAACTTGAAGACCGAGGAAAGTGAGGATGAGTTTATCTTTCTAGCTTGGAGAGGCACCCCTTCCGAACACGATGGTGCTGTGAAAACAGCAACGGCAGCACCTGCCCTTCTGGCTGGGGTTTTGAAACATCAGTTTTCAGCTTCTTGTGCAACCACAATGCTGAGAAATGTCTTAGAAACAAAGCAAAACTGATACCTGCAGGTTTCTCAGCCAGCAGCCTCAGCCCGGGGGATGGGAGTGATGCTACAAACAGCAGGAGAATTTGTAAGAGTGCCAGCTCCACTGCCAGAGCCTGGCCTGGAGCCAGATATGGTTAATTCATTCCCAGCAGGGCTGGGAGGGCCACAGGGATATGCTACTGATACAGCTGTATCCTTTTCTCCCCTGGCCCTCTTTGAGGAAGGGAGCAGACCTGTGTTTTCACCTCAGAACTAATGTGAAATAACTGGTATGGTCAGGGAGGCATCTTTCTGGTCTGTTCTGAT